GTGCTGCAGGCAGGTTCAGGGACCTGGAGGGCATGGGGTGGGGGGATGCACCTTCCTTCTGGCCCTGGGGGACCCAGATGTTGAGGTAGAGGCAGTCCTCAGAGCCCTTGATATTTAATAGGATGAGAGGGGTTTCCAGGCATTGCTGCTTGAAGTCCTTGGCCTTCAGGGTCCCTGTGGGAGGGCAGAGGGGCTGGCGTGAGGATGGTGGCCCCACCCGCTACCCCAGGCACTGGGCCAGCCCGGCACCCACCCACCCACTCCTACCTTGCCAGCCGGGGTGCGGCTGGGGGTTCTCCAGGACCTTGGGCGGGGCGGCGAAGGGGATGCCCTTGAAGATGTCCACAGAGCGGCCGCCGATGCCGAAGAGGCCGAGCTTCTTGTTGACGCCCTCCACGAAGCCCCCTTCCGTGTGCACCACGCCCAGCTGGGGAGAGGGCCAGGCTCAGGGGGCACAGGCTGGGGGGGGTGGGGCGACCCCAGCAGGCTCTAGGGTCCAGGACAGCTTCCAGGTGGGGGTTCCCTAGTCACGCCCGCCTGTAGCTGTGGGTTCCTGTGGAAGCCCCGCTCCTCGCCCCGTGGCAGGGCCATGGGGAAGGAGACCCTGTAGCTGCCCCCAGGCTCCTCAGTGACCCTGGAGGGTCCCCGGCCACTGGCAAGCAGGTGGGTGTCGCCCTCTCGGGGGCCTGGCTCCGGTTTGAACTAGACCGAGGTCCATACCCTGTTCTGAAGCTGGGGGGTGTGATGGGCAACCTGCTGGCCTGCTCAGGGCCCAGCTCCCTTGCGTGCGGGGCCATGGCCATCCCCGGACAGAGGAACACCCTGAGGGCCCTGGTGGCCAAGACGGACTCTGCAAATCAGCACTGAGGACGCCAGTGACCCTGGGTTTTGTTTGTGTTTGGCGTCAGTCACCCTGTGTGCCCTGAGAGCGCCTGTACCAGAACTTATTCGTGGTTTCTGACGTTCAAGTTCGTGGGCGTCCTGTATTTGAGCTGCCCCTGGGCCATCGTGTGTGCGTGTGGATGCAGGAGCAGAGGAAGGGCCAGGAAAGTGCCTGCTGGGGGGGGGC